CCCACTCCCCCCGCCACCCCCACCTCCACCGCCACTTCCTCCTCTAGCTCCACCCGCTCCCTTGCCCCCCTTGCCCTTGCCAGAGCGGCGTCTACCGCTGGGGGCAGACGCCGCACCGACCGACTCAAAACCAGCGAGGTCGGCCGCAGCGGCAGAGGCGACAGAGGGCAGCAGGGGGGAAGGAGAACACCCCTCAAAGATGGGGGTGCGAGGGTCACCCCGAGAGGCCCCTACAGCGACTATGCTCTTCTCAGCCGCTAGCAGGGACTCCTCAAGGAGGTCAACAGTGAGGGTGGTGGGACAGACAGAGAGAAACTGGTCCCTAACGACACGAAGGGACTCAGGAAGACGGGTGACGAGAAAGTAGAGAGTGATGTACATGGGAGGAGGGTTTGCGGCGCGGAACTCAGCAGGAAGGGCAGCGCGGTAGCGAGCGTCACTAGCGCGGAGGTGGGTAACGAGGTCAGCGACAGTGGGAAAGGCAGCGAGGTCAGGGAAGAGAAAAGGTAGCATGAGGCGGCTCAGCGTAGCGGAGGAAGGGGAGGAGTAGCGTGCAACTACAGCGTCGTACAAGGCCTGAGCGGTCTTGCACTGACTAAAGTGGGCACGCTCGGAGGAAGGGAGGTGGCGACGCACAGCAAGACGTGCAGCAGCATCGCGGGTCGCCCACTTGGAGCGAACGGCGAAATCAGCATCAGCAGGAGGGGCAGGGACAGCGCCAGAGACAAAGTCAAAGAGAGAGACCTCATCGATCGCATCACACAGTAAGTACAGCTGCAGGTCTTCAATCCAGACTGCAAAGTCAATGGCTCTACCCTCAGCGTCAAAAGCTAGGACATTGGGGGTGGCCATGACAGCAGCTGACAGTCTCACCGGGCAGGAAGAGTCGGGTAGGTCAGCGGCGCAGGTACACAGCCCAGGAGCAGCAGTAGCCCGACAGGAGCAGGAGTGCAGCTCCTCTGGCGGCTCGGGCAGCTCGGGCGACTCGGGCGGCTCGGGCGGCTCGGGCGGCTCGGGTGGCTAGGGCGGCGCGGGCGGCTGGGGCGGCTCGGTGGCGGCTCACGGGCGGCTGGGACGGCGCGCGGGGAGCTCACGGGCGGCTGCGGCGGCGTCGGCGGCTCACGGGCGGCGGCGGCAGCGGCGGCGTCGGCGGCTCACGGGCGGCGTCGGCGGCGTCGGCGGCTCACGGGCGGTGGCTGCGGCGTCGGGGGCTGACGGGCGGCGGCGGCGGCGTCGGCGGCTCACGGGTGGCGTCGGCGGCTCACGGGCGGCGTCGGCGGCGTCGGCAGCTCACGGGCGACGTGGGCGGCGTCGGCGGCGTCGGCGGCTCACGGGCGGGTTGAAGGCCCACGGGTGGGCGGTTCGCGGGCAGCGCCGGCTCACGCGCGGGCGGCGTGACGGGCGACGGCGTCACGGGCGGGCGGCGTGACGGGCGGCGGCGTCACGGGCGGGCGGCGTGACGGGCGGCGGCGTCATGGGCGGCGGCGTCACGGGCGGCGGCGTCACGAGCGGCTGCTCACGGGCGGCGTCTCACGGGCGGCGCTAACGGGTGGCGCGACGGGCGGCGGCTCACGGGCGGCGCTACGGGCGGCGGCGCACGGGCGGCGCTACGGGCGGCCGCACGGACGGCGCTACGGGCGGCCGCACGGGCGACGCTACTGGCGGCGCTAACGGGCGGCGCGAACGGGCGGCCGCACGGGCGGCGCTAAGGGGCGGCGCTAACGGGCGGCGCTAACGGGCGGCTCGAAAGGGCGGGCGCCGAGGTAGGCGCTAGGGCGGGTGTTAGGGCGGGCGCTAGGGCGGGCGCTAGGGCACTAAGGCGCTAGGGCAGGAAAAAAAGTTCTAGGTGGTGGGCCCTAAGCACAGTTCCCACAGGGGAACCTGCTCTGATACCATGAGAAGAAGTGAACGAGAGAATGAGTGAACTATGAACGAAGTGAGTACAAATAGGAAACCCTAACTGGGTTGTACCCCCTATGGAATACCCCACTATAGCCTACACAAATAAGTAAGCTATAATGTTCTGACAGTTAGTGCGGTGTAGAGGAAGTTATTAAATTTATTATATTTACCATTCTATTGGGCCCTAGCGTTACATGCACAAGTGCCACCGTTACATGCACAAATGCCGCCTGAAAGTTAACGATTGAATTTTATCAGAGAAACCAATACATGCTAACTTCCGCGTCATCATTTCGATTGACTTGCATCACTTTCGCTGGGCCGTCAATCTTGAACGAGATGTGTAAAAAATAACGACCTTAGTTCAACATCCAGATTCCAACAACCGAAGCAGTGTTTATCGTGTCGATATTGCTGACACGACAACCAATCGGAAAAAAATTCCGCCCACTGCCGATGCGCCGCTTGTCTCCGTTCAGTTCGTCGAAATTATCCAAGCCAAATCTTCAGGTTTGGCTTCCAGCTGCTCGACCACTCGAAACCTTCTCGCGAGCAACAAGCTACTATACACGCAAACCACACGCTTCATCGGGGAAAACGCCTGCAGCCGAAAACCAATCGCTTACGACTGGTTTCCAACTTGGAAACCACACCCGCTCTTTCCCCGATGCTCCAGCCGTGTGCACTTCTCAAAGAGATACGAAAGCCCGCTCTCATTAAAGCCACCCTGTCTGTACTCTCGTACCATCATATCGACGTGGAGGTCCGTCAGATCTGGACACGTGTCGGCAATCCCCGAGAGGAGAGAGTCGGGGACGGACGAGATGCTGCAGACGGCGAGGACGAGCTTTCGGAGCCTTGGGAATGACGAGAGGTGCGCGAGCAGCTCGCGAGGACGCATGCGACGGCTTTCGCGAATGTGGATGTGGTCGTGCACGCTACGGGCAATGCGATGCCATTTCTTGCACACAAGCGCGTGCTGGAACTGACCGTCGGATCGACCGACGAGACGGAGGATAACGGAGAGAAGATCATCTGACAGCTGAGCGATCGGTGATGCAGCAGCCATTCTGAGTAGTTGCAACGGAACTAAGTAAAGTGCTCGAAGGCTATGGTTGCTGGGAGAGTCAGCGCCACGGCAAGGAACACTCAGCGATAGTTGAAATCACTCAATTGGTGAGAGTTCGGTTCAGTGGATTTGACAAGGACAAGCTGATGTGCTAAAAGGCTGGGAAGACCTCGCCCGAATCCCTCCGAGAAAACCCGTTCGCCCCTGCGGGTTTTCCTCGGAGGGATTTTCGTTTTCCCGCAGTCGCCTAGCGGCGCACGCGAGGGGCGGGAGCCACCCCCCCCCCCTCCCGCCCGAAAACCGGCACCCCCAGCTGGCGCCAGCTGCCGATGACGCCAGCAGCCCGCGCCGTCGAGCTGGCAGTGGTCCCCCTCCCAACCGAGCCCAACCCCCCAACCGAGCCAAACCCCTCGCTCAGTTCGTCGACGGGTTCCGTCAGGTAACCCACCCGTCCCTCGCCGGCCGACGCGTCGCCGACGGAACCAGTCCGCGAAATTTCGCCGGCCAGACGAAAGCGACGCCCATCTGCGCCGCGCTCCACCGCTCTCGCCCTAAACGGGCCCGTTTCGTTCAAGCCGCTCGATCTTGGCGACGTGTCGAAGGCCCCCTCCCGAACCTTGGAAGGGGCTTTTCAGCTGCATGCAAGGCTGCCCACCCCATGCTACCAACGACCAGGTTTCATGTCAAGGCCAATGGGGCCCCGCCGGCCTCCCTCCTCCTCCCACGTCTCGGAACGCGCCCTGCCTCCTCGCCCTTGAACCCCCCTGGTCCGTCGCGATGGGAGGGATGGCAAACAGCTAATACCCTACGTCCGGTCTCATTTTGTTGCTGTTTCCGATTTTTGCTTCCCTACTTCCTAGTCCCTGCTAGTTCCCAACTCCCCTGCGCGTCCGCCCTCTCCACTGCTAGAACAGACATGGCTACGGGCCCCGCCTCCGTACCCGTCATGAACGAGGCCACGGTTCGACGCGGCCTCATCCTTGGTGCAGGCGGGGTCGAGGTGGAGGTGTTCGAGGACCAGCTGAATGCGATTTGAGAGGCGCCGAAAGGGGAGCTCGACGAGAGCATGATGGTCGCGGGCGTCGTGTACGTGTCCCGTCGAACATTTTCGGTTTGCCATGTTTCGGTTTACCAATCGCTGAGGTTGACTTAGCTTTCCGTGCAGCCTGTTCTGTCATGAGCTGCTCTCCGTTGAGCAGCTCCCCAAGGTGTCGATCGTGACTCCGGCGCGTGCGCGTGAAGAGATGGCCCGTCCCACCCCGGTCGCTTTTGCGAACAACCACCTCGACGGCCTCCTCGGCAAGCAAGTCATTTTCGTTCTGCTGCGGACAACGTGAGTTCGACACTCTCCCGTCGCCTTGCGTGCTCCGTCTTTAGCCCTGAACCCGTTCTCACGTGCATTGGCTGTGCATGCAGACTGAGTGTGCCTCCGTTCTCCCACTCGAGCCTGTTTGTGGTATCGCGCCCCGATGATCTGCTGGCTCCGAGGCACCGTGGCAGTCGAACTCGAATGATGCACTTCGATTCGAAAGACAAGTTTCCCGATATGAACCACCAATCTTCTCTGGCGCAAGAAGTTTTCGTGCGAGTGACAGCTTTGCAACCCTGCTGTCGAGCTGCTGTTCTCGACAATCTTACTCTTCTGTCCTCTGCGTCGCAGGTGGATGAAGAAGCAGCTTCGCGCCGAGTACGCGATGACCCACCAGGCTCTGACCGAGGACGACCAAGAAGTGTTGAAGGTGATGGACCTTCGTCTGGAGTTGAACGAGGATTTCGACCATCTGGTAAGCTCTCTTTAGACCAACAGCGTTTTCGTCGAGCATGTGTTTTGTCGCTTACGTATGTTTTGTACCCGTCGCAGACGACGACGGCCTTGTCGAGCCCCTATCAAAACGGCGCGGCAGCTCGTGTCGTGCATGGGGTGCGCCGGATTCTGTCGAAATGGGACGACTTCATCCTACAGCCTTGAAAGGGCGAACTCGTGCATCTAGGGAGAACGAACACTGGCCCGGGTGTGCTTCCGTTGTTCATGGTCAAGCTGTTTTCGAGAAAGATCGACCAGCTGGCGGAGGGAGCAGGTGTGGGAGGGGGTGCCGACCACGAGGGAGGAGGCGAGAAGACGGGACGCGTCGTGATTTAGTACAGCGTCGAGGAGGAGGAGGAGATCGAGGAGGATACATCGAGGCAGGCTCAGCACGGGGCGAGCGGCCCGGGCGGCGATGTGAACCAGGACGAGGACTCGAGCTCGGAATCGAGCTCCGGCTCGAGCTCGAGCGATGAGTCGGTCGAGGACGACGGCGAGGGCGCCGGACATCGAACGGAGCGTACGGGGGAGCACGGAGTGGCGCTCGGGGAGCGGGTGGACGAGCGAGTAGAGCTTATCGAGCAGCAGGCGACAGGGGAAACAACGGCTGTCGAGGAGCAGGAGGGCGGAGCGGCTGCGCAGGAGGGTGGGGTCGGAGGGCACCAGCAAGTGGTGGGCGAGGCGGCTGCGCAGGAGGGCGGGGCAGGAGGGCAGCAGCAGGAGGGCGTGGCGGCTGCGCAGGAGGGTGGGGCAGGAGTGCAGCAGCAGGAGTTTAGGGTTGCGGCTGCGCGGGTGGGTGGGTCGGGGGGGCAGGAGCAGGAGGTCGGGGAGGCTGTTGAGGAGTATTGTCGAGGAGATGAGCGACAGGCCGCCGTAACAAGGAGTCACCGCACGGCCAGAGGCAGCGGACAGGCGGGCCCTTCGACCGGGTGGCCTTCGACGGCAGGCCAATCGACGGCGAACGTTGCACCCGGAAGCCAGGTCGTCGAGCTACTGCAGAGGGTCGAGAAGGTCGAGGCGTCGCAGAAGCAGCTCGTCGCCGATGTATTTGCGAAACACACTGAGCAAGCCGGAGTATTCAACATGCTTGCGGCGGATTTTCGGACGGCGTGGAATACGATTTCGGAGTCGTCGAAGAGCACACTGTCGCAGTGCGCCGAGGCTGTGAAGGGTGTCACGGTGGAGAGGAACCTGTTGGAAGGGGCGCGGGCGAAGATCGACGAGATGAGCGGGAAGATCATCGAGGGGGTGGTAGCTGCCATCACAAAAGCGAGCGAGGACGCCGTCGAGAAGCAGCTCAAGCAGGTCGAGGAGCGGCTGGTTGCTGCGGTGCTAAAGGGTTTCGAGAAAGCCATCATGGAGGACATGTTTTGCTCCACCCTCCCACCCGAGACCATGAAGGAGCTGAAGGACATTGTGAGGGAAGGCTACCATGAAGCCGAAGCAGGGAGGTTGGAAGTCCTCACGGAAGCGATGGCGAGAGGTTTTCAGCGCTCGGCGGGCCCGTCGACGAGGTCGCATCAAGAGGGTGTGGGAGGGGTTCACAGCGGGGCTGAGCCTCGAGGTCACGAGCGGTCGGTTCCTTCGTCTTCTTCGGTGGGAGGACATGTCGGCAGCCCGGTTGGATCCCCACCGGCGCGTGGCCGTCATCCCGTCGCCAAGCCCGTCCCCGAAGTCATCGTACTCGACCAGTCAGCCCTCCCGAAGACCTCCGTAGCGGCTCCGATCGATCAACCTGATGCGTTTGCTTCGATGGGGGACATGCTGCAAGACCTGGGGAAAACGGGTGGGAAAGGAGTGGTCGCGGGGGAGAAAAGTGGTGCCCCGAACGAGCACGTCGCCTCGACCGGGAACAGAGCCCTAGGAATGCGAGGTGCCTCTACCCCGTCAGGCGGCGGTGCAGGGAAAGGAGCGGGAGAAGCAAGCGCTGGGTTGCTGTCGAAGACTAAAGCGGCATCAGCTGCGCACGGCGGTGGTGCTGGCCTTGCTGCCGGGCTTGTGGGAAATGGGGCGTCTTCCTCAACCCCTCCAGTTGCTCCTGTCGCCGCTGCTCCGTCCCTAGGCAACGTTTGCCTTAGCGATCCGGGCTCCCCTTCAAAGTCGAAGAAGAAGCCGGCTGCAACGAAGTCGTCGAAGCGCGCTGCACACGCGACAGAGAGCCTTGACGTGGTGGAGCTGGCCAGCGTCCCTGGTCAGGCGCCTGTCGAGAAGACCTCTATTGTCATTGCTGCTCGACAGGAAAAGGCGAAGAAGGCCAGGGTCACGGGTCACACCCCACCTCCTCGACCGGACGACCAAGGCAAGACGAGAGGCTGCAAACGTCCCTTCAAAGGACAGGGTTTTGGGTTGCGGAAGGGGAAGCTGGTTTCCGAGCAGACCGTCGGCGGGAGGAAGCGGTTCCTTGGCACATTTGAAACAGAGAAGGACCAGAAGTTCTGTACGGCCGTCTGCTGGCGCGTGTACTTCCCCGACGTTGTCCTTACGGAATACGAAGGGTACACGGCGCAGGATGAGGAGGACTGGAAGGTCTACCTCGATGCGGTCGCAGAAATGCCAACCGGCGTTTGGAGCGTGGCGCAAGAACAAGGGGAATGTCGTTTCGACGAGTAAAACCTGTCGAAGTCATGTTGCTAGACTTTGCTGTTGAATTCCTGCTGTTTTGGTGATTTGTCGAACACTAGCTGTTTTGCGGTGAATGTGCTGTCGGTCGAATTTTGGCCTCTTGACTAACGCATTTCTTGCGATGTGCAGTTACCTGTCGCTGTTGGCGACGGCAAAAAAGGAAGTGAAAGCTGGAACCGAGAGGGGAATCGCGCTGTGCGTGGCGATTGGTAAGGTCACGACGCTTGGCCTGAAGCACGGGAATCTGATTTACCCGGTCCCAAAGGGCATGGCGGCGACACCACACATGATGGCCATCGCAGCAATTGTGGCGAGCTTGTGGGCGGCTTGCAGGAAGTTGTCGAGGGAGGATATTAAGAAGGATGCCCTAGCTGCCGCAAACGCGGCGATCTATGCCCCGGAGACCGCAAAGAAGGCTTGTGTGGCTGCCATGTCCGCACTCGTCTCCATACTTTTGCACGTCGGCAAGATGTTCCCGGCGAAGCAATGGCCCGATCACCTGTATTCGTCGGCTGTCGAAGGTCTCGGCTCGACGGACGCCATATTGCTGCAGATGCTGCGCGTAGCAGCACAGGTCTGTACGCAATGGTGCTGCTGTCGAGCTGCTGCCCGCTTGCTGGAGGACGCGGGCTATGGCAGCCTGGCTATGCCAGAAGAAAAGAGCAAGGCGAATCAGGGCGTCGAGGATGCAGCTGAGACGGAAACGAGCGGGCAAGGGGAGTAGTCTAGGCGGGCACTTTGCGTGGGGGTGTTTGCTATTCTCGACAGTTGTGTTAGTTGTTTCCAGAGTTTAATCGACAGCATGTACATGTTGCATGAATCTTGACTTTCTGTGTGCGATAATGCTCAGAAGGTTCATACAGGCAAGATGGTCGGTCAGTAATGAGAATCTGCCATGCAATCTCTGAAAGAACACCCTACTCTAGTTTCCCCCCTCGTCAGGATTGCCTGTCGAACTTGGGCTCTCTCCCAATGTTTTCATGAACTCTTTCCATTTGTCTTTGAGCACGTTCTCGGCCCATTTCGTGGTTCGAAGCTCGACGCGAATGAGCTCCCGCGTGATCCTGAGGCGATCTTTGTCCTTCCGGTTGTCTTCTGCTGTCTTGACTTTGCGCTTCTTCGTGAGCTGCTTCCCTGAATCCTCTTTGAGAACGAGCCTTTCAGCCAGCATTTTGATCGAGTGGTTCGAGACTATTGAGTCAAGCTTATCAATGATCGTCGACGTAGCCGCGCTGCTGTCGTCGACCCTAAATATCTCGACGGCCCTCATGACAACCTCCATCTTCCGCAATTTCGACTCGACAACTTTTTGGGGTCGGTGGCTTTTCTTTTGGCTGGTCCACCGCAACGGGGGGAACGGTGGGAGGAGTCGGAGTGAAGTTGCTGAACTTGACGGCGAAACCCCTCCTGTAAGCGTGTCAAAGACTGTGTCCGTTGTTCAGCGGGCTTGGCCCGTCCCAGTACGACCACGCCTGCCGCACGGTCTCGCAATTGCACCACGGCCACACCACTGCGTCGAAGAATGCTTGGTCGAGCTGGCTGCCCTTGCTCTGTTGAGTGGGCATTGATTGAGGGGGTTGCTGTGGTGGCGGGGTGGTTTCTTCGGTCGCCGTCTGCGGCACACTCTCGCTCCCCCCCACACTCGCAGCTGCGGTTGTCGCGGCGGTAATCTTCAGTGCGTCAAACGCTTTCTGCAGTAGCGCGAGTGCTTCTGCCTTCGCCTCCAACTCTGCTTGCATCGCACCCTTCTCCCGCTCCAATGACTCGACCTTCTGCTCGAGGCCCTTGATCTTGATTTCTTTTTTCCCACCCTCCTCCTTGTGTAAGTTGACCTCTGCCCGAAGTTGCGTGATGAGGTGCTTGGTGTTGAGTTGAAAGGATGCGTCCTGCGCACAAGATCACGAGCGGTAGGTAAGTGGGCTGATGCAATCTGTTTGGATTAAAAATTAGAAGGGCCATCTTACCGAAGCTTTAGACAGCGTGGGGTTGGTCCGCATCTCGATGCCGTATTTGTCGAGCAGGTACACGTCAAGCGCCCATTTTTGGAAATCCATGTCCTTGCACAAACCGGACATATGTACATAAGGGTGACGCTCGCAGTCGCAAACGCTCGCATTCGGACGGCTTGCAGGGCCTTCAAGAAAATTTTCGCTGCGAAGAACATATGCTCCTTGTCCTGCTCGTTGTTCCATTCCATCGCCTGAACAAGAACAAACGTGGTGACATTGAGAGATAGATGGGCAAAACTTGCATTCGATGATCACGCTAAGCGCTCGACGCATCCATACCTCGTCGAGCCACTGCTCCGCCTTTGGAAATATGTGCTCCTCGATAGCCTTCAGGACCTTCGCGGGTACTTCGCTCTTCGATCTTCCAAGGTAATAGTCACCCGGTTCCGTCGTGAAACCCGCTTGCAGCTGGATGGCCCCGCGCGGGATGCCTGTGACGTATGACCTGCGCATCTCGTTCATGTCCCATTGACCCAGCTGCGCGATGTTGTCGAGTTCACAGTTTTTGTCGGCGAGGATCTGTGCCGCAGACCGTCGAAAGATATGTGTGACTTTCGATAGGATCCACTCCGCGCTTTTCATCGCCCAGGTAACCCATTTGGCATGAGTCGCGTACGGCAACTCGGTCTTGTCTTTGTCGAAGAGGGCGAAGAACAGGTGCTTCTTTGACCAATTTTCCGGGTTGCTGAAATCCAAGGGGGGCACGATCTTATCGTTGTTGTAGTAGAGCGGCACAAGGTCGAAAATGAAATGTATCCACATGAACACTGCTCCGAAGCCGCACTGCCGGAAGTCCATGTGTCGAGTCATGTACAGGTGGCCGAGCTTGTTGTCTTTGATGGTCTTCGAGTTGCAATAGGCGACCACGAGAACGTGGATAGAGGATTCCCCCTTGCTGTTCGTGATGGGCGGAAGGACGTGAGTGAACATATTGCAGTAGCGGATCTCGCGGATGCTTATCCCCCTGCCCAGCATGTGATGCGCCATCAGGATCATCACCCTCACGGCCAAGGCCCTCCACAGCGACTGACTGGGGTAACTCATCGACTCCCGAAAGTACTCCTTGGCCCAGTACGGCAGGATGTCTGAAACGAGAATGCGGAACTGCTCCTCCGTGTAAACATCGTCGAGCGAGCCCCGGTGTGGATCGACGCACTGCCTGCATTGAGTGGGCAGATACAGCGAGTAGTTGGGTGAGAATTTGAGTGAAAAGTTTTAGAGTCCGGTGTATGGCAGCCTACTTACTCGAACTGAAAGTCGTGCAGCTGCCGCAGCTTGACCGCAAGAAGCTGCCGGGCCTCGGTGATGTCGTCCAAGGGTTTCGTTAGTGGCTCGTCGAAGAGTATGGCCTCTACTCTGCAGAAGCACGTCAGCGCAGTAAGGCGCGCCAGCATCATCGGAGGGGTGCTTTTTTTCGCCTTCCTTCCAGCGACTCTGGTCCGGCCTGTGTCCAACGAAGCCGCCTGTTGGTTGGTTTCAGTCGACATGTATTCGACGTACGCGCGCAAGCGCCACTTCGTTATTTTCGGCCCATGCAGGTGCTCCTCGTTACGCAGCGCCTCCCTCCATCTCGGCCCCATATCGTCGCCGATCTCCCTACCGATCTCGTCCTCGTAGATCACCTGCTCCTCTTTAGGCACTCCGTTGCTTTCCTCGGGTGCCAGAATTTTACAGGCCCAAGCTTTGTAGTGCATGCTTCCAGAGACATAGTTTTGCCGTGTGGAATCCTGGTCAACTCCCAGCAGCGGAACCTCACACCGGAAGATTCTGCTTTTAAGTGTTCCAGTCGCCAAGTACGGATTGTCTGCGCCCGGTTGGTCGCCGAGAATGTGCGCGGCATCCTCCTCTGATATATTTGCCGCAGCAGGCCGCAGAGGGTCTGGCGGTTCGACATCGTCCGCCTCCTGCTGTTCTCCCGTCTGAACATCGTCATCGTCCGTCGCTTCAGGGACGTTCTTGGCTAAGTCCTCTCTGCTTGGTCTCGTCGAAGTGCGCCTAGGAGCGGCGGGGCCGGCTCGAGAAGCGGATGTGCCGGTAGGGGGTGGTTGGCGAACCTCAGGCGGAACAGCCCTCGCTCTCCTACGTCGCCCACCTGTCTAGGTCGGTGCACCAACTGAAGGTTCCGTCGAGCGGTGGGCTGTCGACGATGGTGCACGGTGAGCAGGAGCCTCGTGTGTAAAGGGGGCATTTGTTGTCGAGATGGGTTCTACGACAACAGGTATGGATTGACCTGTCGAAGGGAATTCGGTCTATGCACCACCCACTTCAACAGTGACCGGAATACCCGTCGAACGCTGGTCCGTAACAACCGGCTGTATTACTACCGGTATGGCTCGCGACGTCGAGGTGGGCGCTGCCACCTCCGGTATGGCACGCGTCGTCGAAGGGGCCGTCGAACGCTGGTCCGTAACAACCGGCTGTAATACTACCGGTATGGCTCGCGATGTCGAGGTGGGCGCTGCCACCTCCGGTATGGCACGCGTCGTCGAAGGGGCCGTCGAACACTGGTCCGTAACAACCGGCTGTAACACTACCGGTATGGCTCGCGACGTCGAGGTGGGCGCTGCCACCTCCGGTATGGCACGCGTCGTCGAAGGGGGCGCGGAAGAAACCGGCGTGGCTCCAGACGACGAAGGGGGTGGTGTCGAGATGGACTCCAATTCGACAGGTATCCGTCCTACGTCCGCCTGCCGGGAAGGCGCTGTCGTCGACGGATCGGTCTCCATCAGTGCCCACCGAAAGCTAGCAGTTCTCCCTAAATCCTGGCCTGCTGAGGAAACTGTGGTGCTTCTACTAGGAATTCAGGTTTATACAGTGACCTTGGGCTGATGTTGCTCCCCGTGGAGACTGAGACATTTGACGTGGGAGTCGACAGTTGACGTGAACGTTTGACTGCGACAGACGTAACCCGTCGCCCATCCGACATCGACAGTTCGCTCGACCGACGAGGCGACAGGTCGGCCGCAGTTGACGTCTCCGTCGATTGCGACAGTCGGTATTTCGCAACCGTCGACCGTCAGCGCCACCATGTGGGCGACATGCCACCGGGTGTAACACGCGTTGTCGGGGGTGCACGGTGCTCGACGGCGATTGGCCAATGTCCGTCGAGCACTGCTCGACAAATGTCCCCGAAATTGCAACAGTTCGGCATTGAACCCGCGGGTTTCGGAGGGTTTTTTGGCCTGGTCAGCCGGGAATTTTCGAGGGCCCGGAGGGATTCGGAGGGTTTTTCGTTTTGCCTCAATTCCCTTTGTGCCAGGGCGGGCGGGGCGGCATGTGATGACGTCACCCGTGTGTATATAATCGGGCATCGACTGGTGGGCTGGAATGGAAAAGGCGGGTCCGTCATCCGACGAATTGGAATGTACATGTTATCTACTTTTCAAGGTCTCGTTACATTTTATCTACTTTTGCAGCACACATCATATAATTCATGTGTGCCTAGAGACGAATCTCTTACCGGTATATGCTTCTACGGTAGGATCTAACAACAGGACCTTTGTCACAAGGTGACGCTTGTTCATTTAAAGCTCTTCGATGTCAAATGTGAATATTTTCTTCACGAAGTACCGTACTAACCGAACCTAACACATTAATCAGCTGCACAATTGTAAGCATTTTCCGCTGGGCAGCTTCAGCTGGGGGGGGTTGAAGCAGAGGCCACCTCGTCTGGCTGTTGGTCCGACGTCAGGACTTGCTGCAAGCTCAACCGACCCTGGGCATCCGGATCGGAGGAGAGGCGAGCCTGTAGGTCCTGCGCCAGCAGGGTAGTGTAAGCCTGCTCTTGATGGCATTCAGGGGGGCAGCGGACAGCAGACAAAGGGCTAAGTGTGCCAGGGATCAAATTGAAGTGAGAAAACGGATGGCAAGGCAGCCACACCAAGCTACAGTGGCAGGAGAGCAAAGCCAAGACGCCCACACTAAGATATGAGCCACAAGGAATATTTTGTTCCACACTTCCCTCTCACCTCCACAAATTCCTCTCACCTCTACAATTCCCTTCCACCTCCACAAATCCCCCTCACCTCCACAATCTCCTCTATCTCACCTCCACAATCTCCTCTATCTCACCTCCACAATCTCCTCTATCTCACCTCCACAATCTCCTCTATCTCACCTCCACAATCTCCTCTATCTCACCTCCACAATCCCCTCTATCTCACCTCCACAATCTCCTCTATCTCACCTCCACAATCTCCTCTATCTCACCTCCACAATCCCCTCTATCTCACCTCCATAATCTCCTCTATCTCACCTCCACAATCTCCTCTATCTCACCTCCACAATCTCCTCTATCTCACCTCCACAATCCCCTCTATCTCACCTCCACAATCTCCTCTATCTCACCTCCACAATCTCCTCTATCTCACCTCCACAATCCCCTCTATCTCACCTCCACAATTCCTTCTCCCTCACTTCCACAATTCCCTCTATCTCACCTCCACAACCCCCTCTCCCTCACCTTCACAATCCCCTCCATCTCACATCCACAATTCCCTCTCCCTCACCTCCACAACCGCCTCGTCTGCCGCTACAGCCTCAGCAGCGAGTCTCATTCGCTCCTGCCTCTCCTTCCTCTCCATTGCTCCCCGCATCCCAGCCCCTCGCCGCCCCTCCTCTCCCCCCCCAGCAGCAGCAGCAGCAGCAGTGGCAGCGGCAGTGGAAGCAGCTTTAGCGGCCGCAGCCAGCACGGCAGAGGGAGGGGCGCCGGTTTGCAACAGCTGTGCTGCCGTGTCAGTGCGATGGTGCTGGGAGTGGGGGAAGTGGGAAACAGAGGGACGGAGAGGCATAGGGTCGGTTGGCAGGGGAGGGCAGTGATGGCGTAAGAGTGAGCAGATTAAGAAAAACAGAAGGGGGGAGACGGAGGGAAAAGGGGGGGGGACGGAGGGAAAGGAGGGGACGGAGGGGATGCAGGGCGGGAGGGGGGGGAAGTAATGAATCTACAAGAGATGAAGTTAACAAAGTGGCAGGGGGGGAGAAAGGGATTGCAGCTCTAAGACTCACGGGTGGCTTGCCACGCTGCCCGCGCCAGTACGCATCGCTGAACGGGCGCTGACGTGGCATGTCCCTCTGGCGCTTCTCGTCCTCTTCCATGATTGCCGCCCACTCTGCCGCTTCCTCCTAGGGGCAGAGAGAGCAGTGAGGGCGGGGGGAGAGGGGAGGAGGGTGCAGACACGATGAGAAAACAATGAGGCTTGTCCCGCTGGTGCCTGTAGTCCTCTTTCACGCTCCCCGCCCACTCTGCTGCCTGCACCTGTGGCAGCAGAGAGAGGAGAGATCAGAAGGACACAAGGAAGGAGAAGAGGGGGGGGGGGTGGGAGGAATTTGGGCGAGGGCGGGTAGGGAGGATGAGGAAACAGTTGGGTCAGATGAGTGTACCGTGCAAGATGAGTGTACCGTGCAAGATGAGTGTACCGTGCAAGATGAGTGTACCGTGCAAGATGTGCAAGATGTACTGTGCGCAAGATGTACCAAGTGTGAGGGAGTGAGGGAGTGACTGAGTGAGGGAATGCCATCCCCTCCCATCGTACCTGAGAGAGAGAGTTCTTCCACTCGTCCTGCCCCTCTACTTCCGCCACTCGCCTGCCACCCCCCGTGCTCCTCCGCCCACCACTCGTGCCCATGCCGCCGCCCAAGCCGCTGCCTGTGCCGCCCAAGCCCATGCCACCCAGCATCTGTGACACCATGGGCATGACGTCAGCCATCATCTGCCCAAAATCCAACTCCTCTCCCTCCACACCCATGCCCCCCATACCCCCTCCCATGCCCCCCATACCCCCTCCCATGCCCCCTCCCATGCCCCCACCCATGCCCCCTCCCATGCCCCCACCCATCATTCCCCCTCCCGGTCCGCCCAACCCTCCCAACAGCGCCCCCAAGTCAAGCCCACCACCACCCATCCCCCCTTGCTGCCCCCCAAAGCTCCCCCCACCACCACTCATCCCCCCCGTACCCCCCATCCCCCCCATTCCCCCAATCCCCCCCAATCCCCCCAGCAACGCGCCCAGGTCAAGCTCCCCACCTCCCCCGCCCCCCCCCCACCTCTCCCTGCGCCTGCCCTTCTCACCCCTCCCCCCAGCGCCCCCCCAGAGCCCCCCATGGCGCCAGCACCAGCAGCAAAGCCGTGCATGAGCTGCGACAGGGCGGGGTCAGCCAGGGCTTGCTGCATCATGGCGCCCAGCGGATTCGCCTCAGACGCCCCTCGCCCTGCTGCCCCTGCCCCTGCTGCTGCTCCTCCTCCTCCTGGCGCTGCTGGCGCCAAGCCCAGCCCGCCCAGGCCTGCAGGCGCGCCCATCCCTTGCATCCCTGGCATCCCCCCCAACGCCCCCATCCCCCCAAACGGACCTAGCCCCGCTCCCCCCATGCCACCTGCGCCCATTCCCCCCCCGCCCATCCCCAGGGACCCCAGCACCTCAAACATGCCGCCCAGGTCAGGTGCTCCGCCACTCGCCCCCCGCCCACTACCCCCTCTCCCCTGCGCTTGCCTCCTCCCCCCTCCTCCTCCCCTTCCCCCTCCCCCGCCCCCGCCGCTCATGCCTGGTAGCCCCATCCCCAATCCAAGCCCCAGTGCACCAGCCCCAATGCCCCCCCCTTCTCCACCCCCTGCACTCCCACAAGGCTTGCTGCTCTGGGAAGATTTAGGTTTGGAGCCCAGGCTCGGGAGCCCCAGGCCTAAGCCGGATGGGGGGGCGCTGCTGCTGCTGGCTGAGGTGCCAGTGGTGCCGCTGGTGGTGCTGCTCGTGCTGCTGCCACTGCTGCCTGGTTGTGATGATTTGGTGGAGCGCTGGAGAGAGAAGACATGTGGGAAACACGGGGTAGTGATGGTGTAGGGGAAGGAGAATGAGAGTGAAGAAACGAACGAGGCGGCTGTGCAGGAGGAGGGGAGGGAAGAAACAGCGGCGAAGAGGCAGAATGAGGAGATGGATATGAAGGCAGAAGGGAGGCAGGGGTGAATCGAGAAAAAGTATGTCCTTTGTAAGAAAGCCTAGCTTTATGTCTGGTGTGAGGCCTTGGGAAACTTACCCTCTGCACCGCCTTACCTTTGGCTTAGAAGTGAGGCCAAGGCCTCCTCCCAGACCCAGCGGGGCCGAAGGGCCAGATGGGGGAGTGGGAGACTGAGTGGCATTTGAAGCTGCCACTTGCTGCAGTGGTTGATGGGAGGGGAGAACCAAGAGGAAGAAGTAGAGAAGAAAAGAGAGCATAATGCTTGCAGGAAAAACGAGGTACATTCGAAGGAGGCGAGGCAGAAAAGAAAGGACGAGGTAGGCTGAACACGAGAGCACTTGGCACAGGGTTTGTTGTGAAGCAGCAGAGTGTTTATTGCACTTGGATGGGTGCACAAGTCAGGTGAAGAGAATGTGTGATGAGCGTGCAACCCACCACTGTATCCGAAGACGCTGCATTCTTGCCAGGAGCAGGGGGAGAGGGTGACGGGCGGGCGCTTGGCGGGGGAGGAGGACGGCTGTAGGCAGGGAGTGGGCCCCTGTCGTCCTGCCCAACGTGCTGCTCTGTCCTGTTACTGCTGCTTTCACCCCTGCTGCTTCCACCTCTGATATCGCTCCCGCAGTTGCTGCCCCTGTCATGGCATCCATGTGCTTTCACCTGAGAATCCACCTGGCCAAATGTGTGTGGCGCTCCAGGTGGGAAGGAAGGTTGGGGGGAGGCAGGGGGAGGTGCAGCAGGAGGAGGGGGAGGCGGGCTCCAAGCAGGCACCTCTCCTCGCTCATCCCCCCCCTCCGTACCACCCTCCTCCTTCCCGTCACACTCCATCGCATCGCCTTCCTTCTCCGCTGCCCCAACCGCCCCTTGCGCCTGCTCTGCTTCACCTCCTCCTCCTGCCACCTCTCCCTGCTGCTGCTGCCCCTGCTGCCCCTGGCGGCCGTGCATGGCAGCAGACAGGCGGTGCAGCAGAGGCCCCATGGCCTGCAGCAGCCGCTGCCCCACGTCCTCCCCCTCCTCCCCTGCTCCCCCTCCCGCTGCTCCCCTCTCCCCCTCCCCCCCCCTCTCCTGCCGCCCTCTCAACTGGTGCCTGAGGGCTCGCCTTGGCTGCATCCCCCCCCTGCCCGCCCCTGCTGCCTGCCGGCTGCTGAGTTGCTTCTCCGCCTCCCTGCCCTCCTCCCCCCTCCGCCTGCTCTGCGTCTTCCGGCACCACTGGCATGGGCAAGAGGGCACACGCAGGAGGTGCAATGGACAGGAAGGGAAGAAGGGCAGAAGGGAAGAAGGGCAGAAGGGCAGGAGGGAATAAGGGAAGAACAGAAGAAGAGCAGAAAAAGGGTTGATCATCGGTAGTGATATGGGCTACTAGTCACGGGAGACGGGGCGAAGACAGGAACGTGAACAACAAGGAGCAAAGGACAGTGAGGGAGAGGATGGGATGGAAGGGAAAGGAAAGTATGTGAGGGCAGCTTCCAACGAGAGATACCAGTGGGACACGCAGCCTCCAACGAGAGATACCAGTGGGACACGCAGCCTCCAACGAGAGATACCAGTGGGACACGCAGCCTCCAACGAGAGATACCAGTGGGACACGCAGCCTCCAACGAGAGATACCAGTGGGACACGCAGCCTCCAACGAGAGATACCAGTGGGACACGCAGCCTCCACCGAGAGATACCAGTGGGACACGCAGCCTCCAACGAGAGATACCAGTGGGACACGCAGCCTCCAGCGAGAGATACCAGTGGGACACGCAGCCTCCACCGAGAGATACCAGTGGGACACGCAGCCTCCAACGAGAGATACCAGTGGGACACGCAGCCTCCAACGAGAGATACCAGTGGGACACGCAGCCTCCAACGAGAGATACCAGTGGGACACGCAGCCTCCACCGAGAGATACCAGTGGGACACGCAGCCTCCAACGAGAGATACCAGTGGGACACGCAGCCTCCAACGAGAGATACCAGTGGGACACGCAGCCTCCAACGAGAGATACCAGTGGGACACGCAGCCTCCAACGAGAGATACCAGTGGGACACGCAGCCTCCAACGAGAGATACCAGTGGGACACGCAGCCTCCCAACGAGAGATACCAGTGGGACACGCAGCCTCCAACGAGAGATACCAGTGGGACACGCAGCCTCCCAACGAGAGATACCAGTGGGACACGCAGCCTCCAACGAGAGATACCAGTGGGACACGCAGCCTCCAACGAGAGATACCAGTGGGACACGCAGCCTCCAACGAGAGATACCAGTGGGACACGCAGCCTCCAACGAGAGATACCAGTGGGACACGCAGCCTCCAACGAGAGATACCAGTGGGACACGCAGCCTCCAACGAGAGATACTAGTGGGACACGCAGCCTCTACCCCCTTGCATGCCCCAACAACATCTAAGGCCACAACAACTAAGGGCACAACAACTAAGGCCACAACAACTAAGGCCACAACAACTAAGGCCACAACAACTAAGGCCACAACAACTAAGGCCACAACAACTAAGGCCACAACAACTAAGGGCACAACAACTAAGGCCACAACAACTAAGGCCACAACAACTAAGGCCACAACAACTAAGGCCACAACAACTAAGGCCACAACAACTAAGGCCACAACAACTAAGGCCACAACAACTAAGGCCACAACAACTAAGGCCACAACAACTAAGGCCACAACAACTAAGGCCACAACAACTAAGGCCACAACAACTAAGGCCACAACAACTAAGGCCACAACATCTAAGGGCACAACAACTAAGGGCACAACAACTAAGGCCACAACAACTAAGGGCACAACAACTAAGGGCACAACAACTAAGGCCACAACAACTAAGGCCACAACAACTAAGGCCACAACAACTAAGGCCACAACAACTAAGGCCACAACAACTAAGGCCACAACAACTAAGGCCACAACAACTAAGGCCACAACAACTAAGGCCACAACAACTAAGGCCACAACAACTAAGGGCACAACAACTAAGGGCACAACAACTAAGGCCCCACCAAGTCAGGCCCCACCAAGTCAGGCCCCACCAGTCACATCACTCACTCACATGCCTTCGGCGTGTCCCCAAACACGGAGAACAAGCCAGCAGACTACCTCTAAGGGATTCTAAACTCTATTAGCAAAATGCGCGTCCACAGCATCCCCCAGCAGGGCGACTCACATGACTCAAGCGTGTCCCCAAACACGGAGAACATGGCTGCCAGCAGCTGCGACCGCCCCTCCTCCATCTCCCTCTGCCTCTCCGCATCCTCCTCTCCCTCTCCCCCGCCCTCCTCACCTTCGTCCTCCCCTTCCTCGCCATCTCCCCCCTCCCCCTGCTGCTGCCAATACCCCCATGTGTAAGGATACGGGTACTGATACATCCCCCCCATGCCCATGCCATGCCCCATTCCCCACATGCCCCCCATCCCATGCGCCATGCCACCAGCCCCACCAGCAGCAGCGCCCCCAGCAGCACCCACCCCAGCAGCAGCAGCAGCAGCAGTACCCGCTGCACTCCCCCCGGGATGCACCACGAGGGTGGGTACGGGGCCAGGGCCAGCCATGATGGACACCATGGCGGGGAACTGAACCACCTGGGGCTGTGCCGCCTGATGCTGTGCTGCAGTCTCTGCACGCCTCTGCTGCCCCTGCTGCTGCTGTGCCGGTCTGCTGCCTCCTCCTGCTGTTCTACTCCCTGTCCCTGCTGCCCCTGCTGCTGCCCCTGCTGCTGCCCCTGCTGTTGCCCCCGCAGCCCCTGCACCCCCTCGGCTGCCTGCTGCGCCTTGCATGGCCTGCAGCTGCGGCTGCAGCTGGGCTAGCATGTGCTGTGCCTGCTGCATCTGGGCGGGGCTCATCTGCTGCTGCAGCGCCTGCTGTAGCTGCACCAGCTGCTGCACCTGCTCCGCCTGTAGCTGGACCTGCCCTGCCCCCTGCTGACCCTGCGATGGCGCTTGCTGCTGTTGCTGCTGTGGTGGTGGCGACGGCTGCTGCCTCTGCGCCTCTCCCTGTCCCTGCCCTTGCACCTGCGTCTGCCTTCCCCTCGCCCCGCCCGGGCCACGCAAGCCCATCCCCAGCCCAAGTCCCAGCCCACGCGGCTCCTCCCTTCTTCCGCCACCACCCGATCCGCCAGCGGCAGCAGCAGCAGCTGGTGCTGCGGCTCTGGAACCTGTAGCACTGGTGCCAGCAACAGTAGCACAAGTGCCACCAACAGTGCTACCAGCGGCAGTGCTACCAGCAGCAGTGGTAGTGCCAGCAGCAGCAGTGGCAGTGCCAGTCCTGGCAGCACCAGTAGAGCGGGCAGTGCGGGCGGCAGTAGTGGCGGTGGTAGAGCCTCGTGCGCCACGTGCTGCTCCGGGGCGAGGACCTAAGAAGCCTGTCAGCAGGTGGAAGGATCGACAGAGGGAAAACTTTCGGAAAAAGTGAATATTTCTTCATGAGAAGAGGAAGCATGGGAGGCTTGCAGTGCGCAAGATGAAGAGCAATTGGGTGAAAAATGGTGCTGCACGTGAACTCTATGATTAAGCAGTCCACATGGCTGCAGCGCTGCATGCACAATGCACAGGCGCAGGGGTTTTGAGACATCTCTAGCCTTGAGAACATGGCTGATGAGCTAGCACAGGCAGGCGCGCAGGCAAGTGAACGAATGGGCGGTGTGCAGGCATGCGGGTGCCTGGTTGAAATGTGAATGCGTGTGTCTACTGCACAGTGCGTGTGTCTACTGCACAGTGCGTGTGTCTACTGCACAGTGCGTGTGTCTACTGCACAGTGCGTGTGTGTGTGTGTGAGTACCTGGTTGCAGGTTGATATGGTAGTCCTCCACTTGCTGCTGCTGCTGCTGCTGCTGCCGCCTTTGCTGCTCTGACACATCAGCAACTCTCTGAGGAAACACATGGTAACAACACATGTGGTAACCACATGAGACGCTGTCCCGAATGGGAAAGCACAAGCGTCCATCCCCCATGGATCCATGCCGTGCAACAATGAATTCACAGTGCAGAAACGTCAGTGAGCTGAGTTCAGCCTCTATCCTCGCCCGTGATTACTGCGTTACCCTCTGAGCCCCACCTGGGTTACCCTCTGAGCCCCACCTGGGTTAACCTCTGAGCCCCACCTGGGTTAACCCCTAAGCGTCACCTGAGTGATGACGGGGTTGGGGCCGAACTGGTTGATGAACACCGGGTGAGACGCCTGCAGCCTCGCCTCTCCCTGCTCGTGGCGGGAAGGGACACAGAGAGGGCGGTGGAAGGGACACAGAGAGGGCGGTGGAAGGGACACAGAGAGGGCGGTGGAAGGGACACAGAGAGGGCGGTGGAAGGGACACAGAGAGGGCGGTGGAAGGGACACAGAGAGGGCGGTGGAAGGGACACAGAGAGGGCGGTGGAAGGGACACAGAGAGGGCGGTGGAAGGGACACAGAGAGGGCGGTGGAAGGGACACAGAGAGGGCGGTGGAAGGGACACAGAGAGGGCGGTGGAAGGGACACAGAGAGGGTGGTGGAAGGGACACAGAGAGGGCGGTGGAAGGGACACAGAGAGGGCGGTGGAAGGGACACAGAGAGGGCGGTGGAAGGGACACAGAGAGGGTGGTGGAAGGGACACAGAGAGGGCGGTGGAAGGGACACAGAGAGGGTGGTGGAAGGGACACAGAGAGGGTGGTGGAAGGGACACAGAGAGGGTGGTGGAAGGGACACAGAGAGGGTGGTGGAAGGTTCGAGGGATGAAGATGGGAACGAGAAGGAACGGAGGGTGGTAAGGGGAAGGGAGAGATGTAGGTGGGGAGTGAGGGAGTGTGTGTATGTGTTTCATCCCTTCCACCACCTCCCCCTTCCTACCGGCCCATCCCACAACATCTCCACCCCAGCTCCCACTCCGCCTTCCCTCCACTCACCACGGTATCTCCCAGCTGCACGGAGTGGCACAGTTGCCCCATCTCCAGCAGCAGCAGCAGCAGCAGCAGCAGCAACACCAGCCCCGTCTGCAGGCAAGCGTGTGTGCCCATCCCATCCCCTCAATCACCACTGCCCACCCACGCTCACCACAGTATCGCCCAGGTGCACGGAGTGGCACAGCCGGCCCAGCTCGAGCAGCAGTGGGCCCATCTGCTGCAGCGTGTGCCCCACACCC